AGGGAGGGAGATGGAGATAAAGATGGAGAGGGGTATGTACTCATGCGTATAACAAAACCACAATATTCTACAGTATTATTTCTCTATCAAATTAATTACTCGAGTAACCGAATCGATCTTTTTGCCTGCCCGCTTGCCCGCCTGCTTGCCCGCCTGGTGGGAAAGTGCTGGCTGAGTACAAGTACTCGAGTATGGGATATAATAATACTTAATCATATCGAGTAATTATAGTAGAGATACTATACTATAATTACTGTATCCCCCCTGTCTGTCATTTTTATTTTTTTGAATTTTTATGAGCATAGACTACTGAGTATAGTAATGAGTTATGAGTTGTGAGTTGTGAGTTATATTTGGCTAGTTTGGAGTTTGGGGTTTGGAGTTTGGAGTTTGATGGAAAATAGAAATGGAAATGTATATGGATATGGAGTCTTTGATATAGTATAACTTGAACTCAATAAGCCAGGCCTTCATTATATCTACAACTCATACCCAGGAACCAGAAGAGAAGAAGAAGAGAAGGAAAGAAGTTCTTCGGAGCACATATGTATATAAAAAGTAAAGTACAGTTACTCGAGTGTGTGTGTGTGATAATTTGAAAATAGAGATATATAAAGTTACAAGCTACAAGCTAAACTAGCAAAAAGAAAACTGTTACTGGTAGGTAATTAGCATGCACAATTAACTTGTATTATAGGCAGAGGAAGGGAGAGAAGGCAGTATTGTATTGTGAGTATTATAATCTTACTATTATTATTCAACTTTTACTCGAGTATGATCTTCAGATTTCGCGTCACAGTCACATAGAATAGGGGAGCGAGAGTACTTGTACGAGAGTCAGTGAAATCATAAATGTGATTGCATTTTGGTGAGTGGGTATAAGTTATAACTTGAAGTTAATTATAACTCGGGATTCTGGATATATTACAGTAATTATACGAGTATTTAAACACCTAATTTATCTAAGTTGGTATATAATACTCGAGTACAGTAAATATGTTATTATACTTAGGCTAATTACAGTTTGTTTTTTCAAGTTGTAAGATAACTAAGAGGGAGCTGATTTGAAAAAACCTAATCGAGTAAATAATTATATAAGGTATGAAAATAGGGATGGCAATTAGAAGGTGGGTTGAAAAGAGTCTTCTAGGAGGTGTAGAGGTGTAGAGGTGTAGAGGCTTGAAGAGATCAAGTTCTAGAAGACTAGAAGTTGAGGCTTTGAATGAAATTATTGAAATGGGGAAACTTGAACTTATTCTGGTGTAATCACTGGCATGTAAGACTTACTAGTTGGTGCTGAATATATTTGAATGGGGATTTTTGTTTGGATACTTTCCGATTACTGAAGTTATAAAAATGGCTAATATTTTTGGGTAAATATGTATAATATATTTGAAGTAGATTCTTGATGTACTAATAAATACGATCTGATGTAGCTAAACGAGTGATTAGTTAATATTCGAAGTAATTACTAGATTCTTGATAGCCTAGCTTGATATGATAGTATGAGTGATATGCTCGAAAAATAAAATTATCAGAGTAGAACACAACACAATACAAATATTTATTATCAAATATCGGTACTTCAAGGAAATGATGAGGAGGGGGGAGGGGTAAACATGACTAACCGAGCTAGCTAAAGGGGGCATGCTAATGTCTTTCGGTCAATATTTAAGTCATTTATTCATTTGTTTATAGTACTATTTATTAATTGGCTATTTGTTAATTCATATATAAGAAATCCTTATAATTCAATTCAATTGAAGTTTATAATTATGATTTATAATGAAAGAGATTAAGATTTTGTAATCTTTATCTTTAAATTCAAGATTAAAAAATTATAATATATTTTTGAATTAAGATTTTGTAATTATAAGAAAACTAGATTTCTCTTTTCAGTTATTAACTCATTTAATTTTCTCGAAGTACCTATTTTCATAAATATTATCAAATAATATTGAAGATTCTTGGATTTTCGAGAGATAAATTCGCATGTTTTATGTATTTGCGTCTTTTAAAACCCGCCCGAGTACTATAATTAACTAATTGATACAAAATTTCGAATTAACAGACTTAAGTTGACTTTGCAACTCGAACACAGCATTTATAATTCATCAAATGTCTTAAACAAATGGCCCTTAGTTGTTGTATTATTGACACAATCCTCGAAAAACGTCGTCGTCCAGTGTCCCTTATGTCGTCCATCAGTACATTCGCCAGGCGATCCGCCATGTCGTCCAATGTGTCGCTTTGTATATAATCTCCAATTGCTACCAAGATCTCGTCTATCATACTTTCTGTCAAGGTTCCCAGTATGCCAAATATAAATGTGTCTATTAACTCTCTCATCTTTATCCTCATAATTTGCCTCAGTCATCGCTCCATAATCATCTGCCTCAATGTATTGTCCAACCTCCCGAGGAACCTCGCCATCCTTGTGCCGGGCCAGAAGGGGAGAGAAGAGGAGGATTCAAATTGTTGAAATTGTTGAAGTATTAATAATATAGTTCAAAATACATATTCAAAATATCAATTATCTTATTTTTCTGAGGAGAAAGATAAATCGAAAACTTTCAAGGATTAGACAGGTTAGAAGAAATGGACAAATCTATAGAAGAGTATAAGGATTTTTAGAGCTCAGGGGAGAACGGGAGAGGAGTAGGATCAGAGATTGCATACGCCTGGTCGACGACAAACGAAGAGGTAGGAGTGGAGGAATGGTTTGCAGACGAAGGGTCGGCGACAGACGAAGAAGCAGGAGCGGAGAAAGACTCGAGGAAAGAGATTTTAAGTCGCTCAAGGGCGGTGTAACGGTTGGAAGGTACAATCCACAAAGGCATATTCCAGCTGGACCTTCCAGGAGAGAAATCCTCAATGTAATTGGAATGGTTTGCATTTTAAGTTGAAGAAGGCATCTCGACAGGTTTGCTGACAATTTTAGGTATTGGTCTCAAATGCTTGAAAGTAAATGCTTGACGAAAGAGAAGGGGAGAGAGGTAAAGTTAGGTCTTTAATTATATATCAGGGGTGGCGTTGAGTTTGGAAGAATTTGAAAGAATTTGAACGGACTGTCACTTGAATTACTACTAGATAGGACTACCATGATGACCAAGGCATTCATATAACTCATTTGCATCATCTTTGACTAGTAGCCTCCAAAGCTTCTGTCGATGAAGCCGAATGATGTCTTCAAAAAAGCTGAGAAACTCTAATGAAGATGCAGCAATCTGAAAATTGTTACTTTCTTATTGGCAGTGGTCCAGTCAATCATCATTTACTCGATTTGTGCTAGCGTACAGTTGTGAGTAGAGAAACCCTAAGCGATTTGACCCTATCCAAAGACACGGCCGACCGTAAGTTAACTAGTGCATTGGTCAACCAGTCCGTTTAGTTTGACAAATTCAAATTCTCAGTCGGTTTGGCTTGATAAATTCAAATTGGTGGTTAAACTATAACCTCTCAAACTGCCAATCTTCCCGACTGGTTCAAACTACTGACTACACTGAAAATGATGATGCACAATATACCTCTGAACCATACCCAGCTCATATATCAAACGTTAAAACAGAGTCCGTAATTCAACTTGACCCTTGAAAAACCCTTTCTATCACCCTATCATTAATAAACGCGGCATAAACTTGGAGGCGGATTTTGCTTCGGGATTACTTTGCCGGTGTACTAGAGTAACACTAACGCATCACTAGCTGATCCAATTCAAGATTTCGAATGATCTGGCACTTTAGTCACCAGTAAGCTCCGAAGTATTGGAGTTTCTCTTACCAACCGACGAATGAACCTTGTTCTATCCACTAATTATAGTATAACGGTCTGGTTCCAGGCATCATCAATTTAAATTGTTTAGGATACACAGGACGACCATTCATTGGCAATGAGACTTTTCGCAAAGGAAGAAAATACCTAGTACTATAATTTTATTGCACCAATAAACATAGATTTGCCCAGCTATAGAATTGTACACCACCGACTAATCATAGTCTTACATACATGACTTGAAAGGAAAAATCCCTTGAAACAAAACACAAGAATCCAAAGAATGCGCCTAGCCTGGTGCCAAGATATTAGAAAGACAGACTCGATACTCGATATTGTCACCACATCACGATGCACTCGATGTACTAGTTTACTCGATGCAATCAAGCTTCGCGCTATTTTTACCGGACACCTATGGCTCACACTAATGAGCGTGTAAGAGATCGTCATATGCTTGTTAGAGCGAAACTAGGGAATTTAGTCTCAACGGACTAGCCATTTCTATCTAGACTGACCGACACCCACTAGTAGTAGTTCAACCTGGAAATACTGTTTATACCTCGCACAATTGTGAAAACACTTCTTCTTGCAACAATACATCAATCATAATCATAACATTCCGAAAATATTTCCCTTCTTGAGGAACATCTTTCTCAGTCTCAATCAACTAGCTGACTCACAATATCATACCATTTATCATCGCCATACCCTCATAAATCCATCGATTGCATTACTTAGCTATCTCTTGTCATCTTCTCAACAAGCAACAGAAGCGGTAGCTGCTCTCGTCGAGCCTTCATACCCTTCGTCTACATTAAATAGGAACGCTCACAACGCTCGAGAGAGAAAAGAGTTATGAGCGGCCACAGGCTTCGTCGATTTGGAATGTGCCAACAGAACCAGAGGCATGTCCGTAAGTAAACCAACTCCTCGTGATCTTCTTCAATTTTCTTGCTTAGCAAGTGACCACTTCTCATTCTCGAGTTTGTCGTTGAACATCAAGTATGGGTACCAAGACCATTCGGCCTCGACAGTTTGGTTATACACCATTATTTGGTTCTGCAAGCGAATATCCCGGATTCCCCGGCGGTGAATTTGGGGAGTGTATCGTATAGAATTTAGTAGGGCAGATTGAACGTGGGTTTACCCAGTATGATCTGGGTTAAAGTTACTCTGTGCCCAAACGTTCGACAAGCACGCCTCTCAAGTCCTATGCCAAAGTCCCCAGAATCCTCGCTCAGATACTGAACAACAAACTTTCGTAAAAGTCCAGCTAACACCCCCATAGCTCGAAATGCTAACTCATGCCCCACAAAGGGTAATTGGAGAGGCCAGAATAACCCTCTCGCCTCATGGGTTCTGGCCGTCGCAGAAGCCCAAAAAAAAGGGCCAATGCCCGTAGAACCAGCCGAAGACTCCGAGGAATGGAAAGCGTTGATGGAGTATAGATCCGAGAAGGCCTTTGCACCGAAGGTTCCCCCGCCGACGCTTCCTCCACCGATAGTCTCTGAAGGGATACCCTGTCGTCCTAAGATACTTCGGAGATCATATGCCGAGGTACTTTCCGGATCAAAGTTGACAGTCGAATCCTCATCAAAGTATATCGAGGAGCAATTCTCAGTCCCTAACGAGAAAGAGAAGTAGGGACCTCGAAGAACTTATGCCGAGGCATTTTCCGGATCAAAGATGACATTCGAATCCTCAAACTATATTGAGGAGCAACTTTCAGTCCTCGACCAAAAAAAAAGAAAACATAAAAATCTCAAAAGATTTATATCAAAAGAAATTCGGAATCAAAGAGAACAGCCAAGCCAAGTCCTCAAAGTCCATCGAGGGCCAATTTTTTACTTTTGTTTCAAAGAGGGAAAAGAAGCAAGAAGCAAGAGAGCATCAAAGCTATGCAGCGAAACAGATATCAACTGAAACTGTCAAATTTTGGATTATACTTGGTTTAACTAGCGGTTGGGATGGGATTATATAAGCTAAAAAATACTTTAAACTATATACTCGAGTAGATTAAATTGGTATATTAGATATATTAGCTAGCAAATACATAAAACTTCTTTCATATCCTTTTTTTTTGCAATTTCAAATATATATTAATAATCTGAATCTAAAACTTGAAGCTTAAATTATTGAGAGTTTCTTCCACTTGGAGACAGCAAAGCTTAATACAAAACCAAACCCAACAACCACTGGCAGTTTAGATTCATTATTCATTAAACCAAACCAACTAATGAGCCCAATAACTATACGAATTCAACTACTCTACCACCGACTACGCTATTGCCATTACAAAATTCTTCTTCATAGAATACTATTATCTATATATACTAACTGTTCTCGTAGATAAATAAATCACAGATCCAATACTTCCTTTTCCTTGTCTATCTCTTGGATTCTCTCCTTCTTTTCTTCTCTCCCTCTCTTCTTCTTTCCTTTTCTATCTTTTTATATCTCTTTATATTATCTTTTCAAATTATCTTTCCTTCCCTATACTCAATACAAATCTAATACAATATAAATCCAATCCAACACAACACAACACAATACAATACAATACAATCCAATCCAATAAAAACCAACACAACACAACACAACACAACACACACACACAATATCAATCTATTCCATTTCATCCAAACAAAAATCCTATTCATGACATCATACTCACCCTCACACTCACACTCACACTCACAGCATATTAAATTTGTACACAAAATTATATATATACAAATATACAAATATACTCTCTCAATTTTTTTAAAAAGAAATATGATATTTATTACTCAACCACCCTATCCATCTCTCCATCCTATCTCATGCTATCCCTCCATTTAGACCCCCTCCCCCTCCCCCTAAAAAAAAGAACAAAGAGAATAATAAATAGAGATACCCAGCCAAGAATTCAAGTAAATTCTCTCCAAATAGCTCTCTCTTATCTTGTAATACAAAACTTAGGCTTTAATACAAAATATTACTAATATTTTATATACTCGAGTATAATAGTTGCACTTGCTATATATGCCCCATACCTTTACCCTTACCCATACTCCAAATTCCAGAGCTCAAAAATCAACTATCCCCACAGAACACTCATCCTTTCCAATCTCACTCCAATATTCCATCTCACATGACAGACATCCATTGTCACATAAGAAAACAAGAAAATATTATGAGGTCAGACCTGGAATCACGCATTGTTTCTCATCATGAACAATGAACAGTTAAAAAAGATAATATGCAACATCACATCCTTTACAATCCCAATTCTTTCCCCATCCCATCCCATTCATCCCCACCAATTTTCCAGTTCATCACCTTCAATCCCCATTCCTATCCCTGGGGTCCTCCAGAAACACCTTCCCATATCATTCATAGCATGACATGGCCTCGATACATCACATCCTATCCTAACGCTCATTCCCCACTCAACCCTCTCAAGGACTAGCCCATCCCCCTGCAACATCCACCCACTCGGCCAGACAACTTCCTTGTTTGCCTTCCACATCTACAATGTCCGTATCGCATCTACATCTACATCCAACTCCGTTCTCCTTAACCGGATCCCAGTTATCCCAGTACTCATCTTCTTCCTTTCGCTTCTTCTCGTCCAGTGTAGTCTTTTCTAGATAAGGTTCGCGGGCTCTCTGGCGTGCGGGCGCATTTGCTGGGCAATGTTGAATGGTCGTATGTCTGTAGCCAAAATCACGGAAGTAATGGACATCGCGAGGAGCGAGGAGAGCACCAGCGGCTAAAGAGTGAATGGGTGCGTCACCCCACTAAGAGTATTGTTAGTTTGAGACCAAATCTCGTCATGATATTATATATTGGCTTACTCTTTCCATCCAAAATCCACCACTACGATCCATCATTTGAAAGAAGTCTTCATACTCTTTACTTCTGAACCAACTGAGTCTGGCAATTTCGAAATTCGACCAGAAATGGCACATATTGTACTTCTCTCCTTCCATAGCTTCTGGATCTATTTCTGGTAAAGATGCACGAGATGGATCACCTCGAAGAATTTCTTCGGGGAGTGGTCTTTTATAAGCTGGGTCATCTTCAGGAACCTCCTTTGGTTCCTCAGGTGGAGGTTCGATGAACATCTCCCATAGACCTTGAGATGTGATGTTGTTGACTCGTTTGTATGCAGATGCGTAACGGAAGATATTTGGAACTGTTTCTTTCAATTCTTTGACGGCAATAGTGAAACCGTAAGTCTTGTTCGAATCGATCATCTTCAGGAAAGGATCGCTATGAATTTGTCAGCTTCATCTGCAATGATGTTCCAGGATTGCAGGACATACTATGTGATATCACAGAAATACTTAATTTCTGGCTCTAGACGCCAGTACCACTCATATTTAGCCAGGAGCTCATGTTTGTAAAAGAATCTGGTATTTTGTCAGCAACTTCTCATTCATCTCAAGTTCATAAGTCTGGATGATGTGCATACCCTGAATAGAATCTGCACATAGCATGATAACTTTCCATACCACCATACATGATCGCAGCATCACCTTGCTTTGCAATACCCTCTTTGGCGACTTTAGGATCGATCCATTCTGGGAATCCCCATTGCTTAGGGTCGATAGTTCCGAATTCACATGGCGCACTTGTATAGTTTCGAATGACTTCCTTAAATGTCGAGTTGAATTCTTGGTCGTTGAGGAAAACGTATGGGTAATTGTACCACCGATTGAAGTGCCTCTCGATAGATTTGACCGATTGAATGACTCCCTCTAGTTCTTTATTTCTTGCTAGCACAACGAATGCTGCATTGGCTCTTGGTTGACTTGTATCTGGTTCCGCACATCCAGTCACAAATACTTTATCATGTTGTTCGCTGATCCTCCTACAATAACAAACAAATGTCAGTGGTCTTGGCATTTCAAGAACAAGATAGATTGATAGATAAAAAAAAAACATACCTAATAGCTGGTGGTGCTCCAGCTGGCATTAAAATCCCCACACCTGATTTAGGATGTCGGACAAAAAGCACTAAAATCAATACAACGACAATGCATGGAAATAATAGAACTACGCCGAGAGGTATCGAAATGCTGGAATTGCCCTTTAGTTTGAGCGGCCGCCTGAAAAATGCCAATCTAGATGTAACTTTTGGCTTCTCCTTCCCATCCTCCAATGGTAATTGTGTCGATGAAGGCATGCGCTTCATGACCCTCTGTACGAACCCCATGTTGGCTGTTGATAATTGAGGATCGTTTTCGCAGACAAAATAACGAGATAGGGGGGATTTATGTCGACCCCGGGTCGTTAGAGAAGGACACTACCCAGTGTGTGTCGTAGATTGAGTATTGGTTATTATTACAAGTAATTGGAAAAGATTTTGTGATTGATGGTCGATTCGAGATGATCCTAAGCCGTTTCCCTTTCGCAGAGTCGCTATTCCTTCCAAGTAAAATCTGACGATGCTTTTCTAACGAGCGGCTGGACTTTGAGTGTCCTCGAAGATAGAAACGCTTTTGCGATGACGCGTCTATGGTATTGGGATGGTTTCTGCCTTCAACATAGAAGAAATAAATCCGATATGTCGATGGCTAGAAGGATTCGAAGATATTATGACATGAAAATTTCAAAGAGGAATTCGTTATATCGAGTACGAGTAGTGATTGTCGTGTGCTGGCCGTGGGCTAGAACGGTGGACTTGGGGGTAGAAAAAAGGAATTGGGGTGGTATTTGCCAGAGAGGTGTTCGTTTTGACGGGTGGGGGGATTTTTTTTAGGTTAAAGTTAGGTAGAGATTCCATAAGAGTGGAGTGGAGAGGAGAGGAGAGGATAATTTGGTTTGAGCGAAAGCGATAAGGAGAAGAAGATACGAAACGAGAATATAATAAATTGATTTTTGATTTATTAGACATTGACTACCGGTACTGGATAGTAATTTCAATTTTTGGCAATGGAGATTGGCTTGTTAAGTCAATATTGATGAATGGCAAGCAATCACAGAGAGAATTGTATCTCGGCTATGGGTTCTCTTCCAAAGCTCATTTCGATTTCAACATCTCATATGGATATTGACATAGCAAGTAATAAGGTTATCTACTGTTTGTTAACAGGTAGGATATCAGGATATCTAGTTTGCCCCTGAATGAATTGAGGAAGTCTAGATGTCCAGATATCTTGATAGGAGAAGGATATACCTAATTAGGCAATACTCCGTGGAGGAGAGAAATCCTTCTCTATCGAAGGGAAAGGATTATCAATCAGCCTCAATATTCAAGATAAATCTGTGCTTGTAATGAATTCAATATCACAATCCCATTGGCCAATCTGTATACTTCCTAACCACGCAATCTCGAGTTCGAACCTGACTTGGTACTCCATCCTGTAACTTGGCCTTCCTCGATGCATGAGCTTCATGCCCTGAAAGTGGTTTGCATCTTGGAAAGCAACCAAAGATCTTGGCCCTTCTACCAGGTCTTCCTCTGTTTCTGTGGTGAACTCGGACAAAAGAAGATATGAAGGCGCGTCGGTATCCGCGGTTTGTTATACTTGCATATGTATAAGTCCATAATGCATCACATCTCTGGTTGCCACACCTTTCCAAGTTTAAGTGTGCAGTGTGACTAGCCAACCATACCCATGGCTGTGATCAATAAATAAAATCCCCCTAATGTCATTTGATGAAAATCTTCATATACTTTTTTCCTTTCTCCTTTCATTGGCTTTATGTTCTTTAATTAATGGCTTCCTTTCCATGCTTATATCAAGAAGCGGTGTAGCAAATGCATTCGTAAATACCGGTACTGTCAAATAAAATAGTGATGATGCCCAGAACTGATGGAGAGCGAACGAGCCTGAAATGGACAATTGACAACAACGATGAAATTGACCCATCACGCCGTAACCTATGAAATTAGCCAGTCGTGCCAATATATCCACGCTTTCCACCGATCTGCCCTACCGATTCAACTTGGGCCTGTTAGATACCTGTCCGTTCGGCCTGTACCCGCAAACCTTTAGAACTAAAGTGGAAACTTTACCAGTCATCATGATTCGTTTGTTCTTTTGTCCTATTCGATGAATGTGTATGTGAATGCGTACTGTACTTGCATTCTTGTTTCTTGAAGTATCGTTGGATAATGTAAGCATCCTTTTTAGTTTGCATCTTTTGATATCCTCGAGAACCCTCTGATCTCAAATGGATGTGAACGTCTGATATATGTACCTAGTTATATTGAGGTGGTACGGATAGGGTCTCGATAAGGATTTATATGGGGAATCAACAATCTCAGCGCCGATACCTGGGTTGAATGTCTCAGAATTGGCGAAAGATACAAACGACCAGAAGGTTATTCAACGTGTGACCACGTCCGAAGTTCCCTTCATACCATACCATACCATACCATACTATACTCATATCACATATACTTTGCTCCCACTCCATAACACCGTCGAATTGTTGTATTTTTACTCATACTCCCTCTGCCTTATCTAGTTTACTTTTCTCCCTTTTCCGACATCCCTCGTTCCTTTCTGCCACGCATTCGAAGCGGATCCCACTTTGCCAGCCCCCCTCAAGAGTGCTCTGATGCCGAGTACTACACAGCTTCGATGAATTGGACACCTTCCTGCCATAACAGAAGTTCGAACATCCACAATGGCAGCGGTCGAGGCTTGGTCGTACGGAAGCGATTGTCTAGGGAACGATTGTGGATTGACTACGACCTTTCCTGGGACGATTGGGTGGGATGAGGGGGATATTCGCATAAGGCTGGGATTCATCGCGAAAGCATGGGAGGCATCGCGAGAACATAAAGATGTGTGTCGTTCAGAATTGGTATGCATACAATTGTTTTTATATGGTTTCAATTTTACGTTTGCTGCTAGGTTAAACTGGCGCAAACCGAATTGTGGTCTTGCTTTGGTGTTTAGAACAATACTATCCAATGGTCGCGAACACTTTGGACGAGATTTGGGAAATTTCCCCGTGAAGTTTCCCGGCCCAATACATATATTGGAATTTTATCCGTCATCAAGAATTTATTCGAGCCTCACTCTCACTCCATACAGTAGTCGCTTACTTTGGTCGCACGAGGTGGTTTACGCACTGTCGACATAGATCTCTGATATCATTTCTAGGGCACATACTCCGGTTCGATATTTGCGCGATCTCGCAGACGAATATTTGAAGGGTTGAAAACTCCAGATTTATTACCAAGATGGCATTGTGATATGTCTGCACCAAACGACGAAGATTGTATAACGGACCTGCACGACACGAGTTCGCTCGCCAAGTCCCAATCGCAAAACTATATCAGCCACCCCGCTACCCCTATAAACTCGCGAGATAGCAGACGTGACTCTTCACCATTGGCCGATTCTAAATTGAATCCATCTGTCGATTTTAATTCCCAAGATGGTTTCAAGGTGGCTGCAAAAAAGAAGAAGGGGGGAGCCAAAGCTAATGTGCCTGTAGTCAGAACGAAAGAAGATGATGGAGATGATGGAGGGAAGAAGGATGAGGGTGAAGGTAATAATGATGACAAAGGTGATGGCGCAGGCGGCGATGCTGGAGCTAGTGGGAGTGGCTTTGGAAATGGGGGAGACGACAAGAAAGAGGACGAGAAGAAAGAAGAGGAGAAGAAAGAGGAAGAGATAAAGGAAGAAGAGAAGCTTATTGAGCCCCCTGCCGAAGATCTGGTGGACAACTTCACTGTAACGGTTAAGAAAGACAAGAAAAAAAAGGAGAGGGGAAAAACTACCGAACCAGAACCAGAACCGGAACCAGTCCCACCCCCGCCTCCTCCTGCGCCCGAGATAAAGATCGCCGAGACATTCGATGACATTAAGCTGGACGATGGACCGAAGCTAGACTTGAATCCAGATACTGGTGGCAGTACCGCAAGCCCGAAATTACCCGGTGTTCTCGGTGGATGGGGTAGTAGCTGGATTACTGGGGCAGCATCGAAATGGGGTATTGGGAGCACAACCAGCGCAAGGACACCATCTCCAGTAAACAAATCCACAGAGGAAGCCAATAACCCTTGGAGTAATGATCGTGGTAAGCCCGAATATCAAAGCCCAGGATTTGCATTTGGTGCCCTTGACCAGGATGAAACTAAACGCAGCATAGCAAAATCCCGGAAAGTGGAAACAAGGCCTGAACCGAAACCTGAACCCAAACCCGAACTAATACCGGAACCGAAGCCTGATCCAATACCAGAAGAGGATCTTGGATTCAGCATTGGTACTTCTAGAAAGGAAAAGAAGAAAAAGAAAGGCACTGTAGCGTCAGTGATAGACAAGTTTGAAGTGGCCCCGAAAGAAGAACCCAAAGTAGAACCTCCAAAACCTATTGATATACCTGCCTTGGACGACGCCTGGGGTGCTTGGGGCGCTACAAGCACAAAGATGAAAGGTAAAGCAGCAAATGAACCTCCAAAAGCCAATGAACCCCCAAAAGTGGAAGCCGTAGTCGAGCCTGTTGTTGAAGAGAAACCACCTACTCCGTCTCCTCCTATGCCTGCCCCCGTGGAAGATATCTTGAGCCTTGGTCCATCCTCCAAAAAGAACAAAAAGAAGAAAGGAAAGCTTGCTGAACAATCAAAACCAGAAGAGTCGCCGCCACCGCCACCGGACCCCGAACCCGAACCAGAACCAGAGCCAGAACCAGAACCAGAGCCAGAGCCAGAGCCAGAGCCAGAGCCCAAGTATATTACCGAACCGAAAAAAGAGGAAGAACCCCTTTCTGCTTGGGGTAGTACTAAACCGGGTAAGAAAAAGAGGGGCAGAAACACGATCGTTGAGGTAATGCCGAAAGTGGAAGAGCCACCACTTGTTGTGGAACCCGATCCCGAACCTGTAATTGAGAAAAAGATCGAAGAAGGGGCCGGCTGGGGATGGGGACTATCTACAAAGGACAAGAAGAAGAAGAGGGGAGCTATAGAAGAGCCACTGCCTCCCCCGGAACCTGAGATAAATCCCGAGCCGGAACCCGAACCCATACCCGAAACCGAACCTGAGCCGGAACCCGAGCCACCGCAACCGGAGCCAATCTTCAGAAAAGACAAGAAAAAGAAAGGTAGGAATGCTGTGCTAGATGCTAGAATTGAGAAACCACCGACACCACCATCTGGATCTGCTGAACCAGAACCGGAATTGAAATTTGAGCCAGCAAAAGATACCAATACATGGAGTCCATGGGGACATAGTAGTTCTACCAAGGATAAGAAAAATAAAGCCGAAGATCAGCTTCTACCAACTGCTCCAGCGATCAGTGGGTTTGACTGGGACTTTGATGACAAGCTAAAAGATGAGCCAGCTGAAGAAGAATTCAATAATCCAGAACCGGAATCGGAACCGGCCTCAAAGTCTGTAGAATCTGTAGGTATTTGGGGTGGTCTTACCTCTACCTCTAGCAAGAAGAAGGATAAAATTTCAAGCAAAGAGAAGGACAGAACCTCGAGTAAAGAGAAGGATAAAGATAAGAGGAAAAGCAAAAGGAGTGCTGAGGAGCCCAAAATAATCGACTACTTTGATGAGCCTATACCTGAGCCGGCCCCTGATCCACCTCCAGCTGTCACGAACGATTTCGACTGGGGCTTTTCTTCTACTGCCAAGAAAGAAAGAAAGAAAGGAAGTAAACACAAGGAATCTACACCCGAGCCAGAGAGTAAGCCAATGATTGAAGCTATAAAGCCTGGATACAATGATGATGCCTGGATGAATTGGGAACAAAACCCCAAGAAGAACATAGAAGAGTCATTACTTCCTGTCGATGACTTCGAAGAGCCTATGTCACCTCCACCAGTACCAGATGCTCCACCTGCTGTCGACGATTTTATGGGTTGGGGTTCTTCGAAAGACAAGAAAAAGAAAAAGAGCTTTGTTGAAGATCCTCCGAAGATCGAGCCTGTTAAGGAACCCAAATTTGATGACTTTTTTACTCCGATTTCTTCTAAGCCTGCTGTCAAACTCAACAGGAAAGAACAGAAAGAGGCTGACAAGGCTAGAAGGAAGGCTGAGAAAGAAGAAACCGAAAGAAAGCTGGCAGAAGAGGCACAAGAGACGGCTAGATTGGAGGCCGAGGAACAAGAAAGACACGAAGCTGAGGAACAAGAAAGACACGAAGCTGAGGAACGAGAAAGACTTGAAGCCGAGGAACGAGAACGATTGGAGGCCGAGGAAAAAGAGAGATTGGAGGCCAAGGAACAAGAAAAGATCGAAGCTGAAGAGAAGGCTAAGGCAGAAGCGGAAGCTGAATCCGAATCCGAACCAGAACCAGAGCCTCCTAGAAATGACTGGAGCTCAATATGGGGTCTAGCTTCAGGCAGCAAACCAGACAAAAAGAGTGAGAAAAAGAGCAAGAAAAAGGCTATCCTCGAAATTGAAGCTCCACATCCAGCTCCGACTCCTCAAGCAGACCCTCCAGCAGAGCCCGAAATCGACAATTCCTGGGGGTTTGGATCTACCGCAAAGAAATCAAAATCTAAGGAGAAAGAAGCTCCTCCTGTCAAACTCAGCAGAAAGGAGCAAAAAGAGGCAGACAAAGCAGCCGAAAAGGCTAGGAAGAAGGCTGAAAAAGAAGAGGCTGAAGCGAAAGCTGCAGCAGAGGCAGAAAAGGCAGAAGAGGTAGCTAGATTGGAAGCCGAAGAACAAGAAAGACTCGACGTTGAGGAGCAAGAACGATTTGCAATGGAGGAGCAAGAGCGATTTGAAGCTGAGGAACAAGCAAGAGCCGAGGCCCAGGCTTTGGAGGCCGAAGAACAAGCTAGAATCGAAGCTGAGGCTGCTGAAGCAGAAGCCAAAAGATTAGCCAAGGAGGCCGAAGTAGCTAAATCCAAAGTCAGATTGACAAAGAAACAACAGAGAGAAGCCGAGCGATTAGCGAAAAAGAAGGCCGAAGCAGAAGAAGCTGCTGCAAAGGAGGCAGCAGAAGAAGCTGCTAGGGAAGCCGAGGAGGAAGCTATGAGAGAGGAAGAGGAGCGTGCAATTAGAGAGGAAGAAGAAGCTGTCAGAGAAGAAGAAGAAGCTGTCAGAGAAGAAGAAGAAGCTGCAAGAGAGGAAGAGGAAGCTGCTAGAGAAGAAGAGGAAGCTGCCCGAGAAGAAGAGGAGCGTGCCAATATAGCAGTGAAACAGAAAGCTGCTAGAGAAGAAGCTGAAGCTGCCAAAAAGGCCAAAAAGGAATCCAGATCGAGCAAGAGTAAGAAGTCTAAATACAACAAAGAACCGGATCCTATCCCTCCACCACCGCCACCTCCACCACCAGTACCGATCAAGGCTCCAACTCCTGAACCAGACGAGGACCTAGAACCAACCCAGGAAGAATTAGATGAAATTCTAGCTTTAGGTAATCGCACAAAACCACCGTCACAAGCCTTTAGTTTTTGGGGAGCTCCTAAAAAATCACCACCAGTATCAGAGAAGCCATTATCAAACAAGGATAGTGAATTTGGTAAGACTAATCTTACCGAGGCATCCACTAAGAATCTCATGGCTTGGGGCACGGGACCAGACGAGATTGCGATTGCTGACAAAGCGACGCGTCCAGAAACCTCTTCTAAGAACCAGGACACGACATCTAAATGGCCACCGCCATCAATCAAATCAAGTCTGTTAAAGAAACCGGTCGGAGGAACAGTAGCTGATAGGTTAAGAGCATTTGAAGCAAATAAAGTCGCTGAGGAGCTTGATGACCCTGATGAGCCTGATGAAGTAGATGAATATTTCCCAGCACCTTCTCCACCTCCACCTGCGCCGCATGCGCCGACTAGGGAGGAAAAGAGAAAATCAAAATCTTCATCCAGAAGAGACAAGGAAAGGTTAGAAGATTCAGGAGTCCTTCCTGGTGGATTTCCGGAATCTGCCTACGACGACGAGATTATTGATATTGTCGAGATGCCAATTCTAAAGAAGAACAAGAATAAATCTAGTAAGAGCAAGGAATCTTCCAGAGCACCATCTGTACCTATTGAACCACCCACGCCACCTCCTGAAGTAGAACCGGAACTGGATTTAGATTCGGATCACAAATCATCCAAGAAGGAACGTCCTCGAGTTGTCCGCGATGGGTCTTCTTGGGGAGCCTGGGGAGCAGAGCCTCGTAAGGAAGAAAGGGATAGAAGATCACCCAGGGACCATGGGCATACATTTGATGAACCTCAAGTCACAAAAGATGAGAGGAGATCCACCAGAGATGCCGACCCCAGACATTCTAAGTCTAGAAGATCATCTACTAGAGAAGAGAGAACTTCTTCGAAAGACTCATCTTCAGACAAAGCAGAGAAGTCATCAAAAGGAGAGAATAGACCACCGGTTTCTAGAGGAATATCAAACATGTTTGGGCCTGCTACACCACTATCGAGGTCTAATTCAAAGTCTGAAAAGCGACCGAGTGTGAGCAGAACGAGCTCACGCCGACAATCTGTTAACATGGACAGTCCCTACCCAACTCCGATGCCTGATGATGCTCGTGAACCTCCCCCAATGTCCGCAAAAGCTGCAAAGATGTTTGGTATTGGTATGCCTGGCAAGCTTTCAAGAAGCAAATCCGAAAAGACCAGACCATCACGTGGTACGTAACCCCATCAAAGTATCATAATTATTACTTATGCTAACATCAATTATGAAGATGATGACGTGGATGATGACGTGGCAGATCCTACCCGTCACAGATCCAGTCGTGATAGAAAAGGCAAGTCAAAGGTGATCGACGATTCAATGTTTAACATGCAGGCGCCACCACCTGTACCCATGCCTCCGCCGCCGATGGATATGCCACTTCGAAGGAAGACCACGCCTACCACAGACTGGAGTGCTAATGCCAGGGCGTACCAACAAAGGCGACAAGAAGATGACATTGTTGTGGTAGAACCAGGAGGTCCATCGGAAAACTTGGGTGCACCTGAAGTTAAACGAAGCGATCCAAGCGCTCGCAAATCTGGTTTGGGTGGCATGTTTGGAGGGGTTTTTGGGAAAAAGGACAAAGAAAAAGATCGGCCAGACCTCAAACGTCGAAGCACAGCCCCAGCTGAAGAGGAGAGCCGTGGATATAGACGTGATGACCGAAAACCCCGACGATCTTCTAGAGATGTAGACCCCGAAATAGATGTCACCATGACAGGCGGCGCTGCTGAAGAAGACCAGGAGGCAAGAAGAGCAGCTCGACGCGCACGAAGGGCTGAACGCGAGGCAGGTCACCGAGGCGCGGAAGATACACGAGCAGTGAAGGAGGAGTCAAGAAGGGAGCGTCAGAGAAGAGAGGAAGAAGACGAACGTGAAGCACGAAGGGTCGCTAAGAGAGAGAAAAGACGTGCTGCTGAGGCCGCTGAACGACGAGTCGAAGAGGAAAAAAAGGCAAAGGAGGCTGAACGTACCGAACGCCGGAGAGCTAGGAAAGAGAGAGAGGCTGTGCAGACAGATGGCGAGCCACGCGGTGAAGACCCATCGCGTTCTAAACGCAGACGGAGTCACAGAGATGGCGACGACGATGAAGCTCGTCGACGAAGACGTGAAGATCGGGTAAAATCATCAGATCCTCGCAAATCAAGTCGCAAATCTGCACCTGTCCCTCAGCCAGAATTCCTTCCAGCTGATGGCCCCGTCTATAGCCGTTCAAAGCCCAAGAATACTCCAGCTTGGCCTCATAGTGGTACGGACTCTTGGGTGAGAGAAAACTCGGATGCACCACCACCACCCAATTTTCCTACAGGAGAAGCATCCCCTATTGAAGATACGATCGGTGGAGAAGCTGAGAGAAAAAGAATGAGAAAAACAAGACCATTGGGGAATGATGATGATAAGCGACGAAGAAGGGATGAAAGAAGACGTGAAAAAGAGACAGAAAAGCCCGCAAGGAGCTCGGAAGGCAGTCAAGAGGACCCTCTACGAGAAAGTCCGAGAGAATCCGGTTTCGAGACGTCTCGAGCGCCAAGTGCTACTGGTGGTCTCTTTGGTCGTTGGAAGAAATACGGGGGGTTCTAATGAAATGGAACGATTTTATAATGAAATGAGATACGAAGATATGACCTACTATATTGTTTCGGTCATGGAGAATGGGTAGTGTGAGCGTATGTATTTTGATTTTGATCTCTTGTTCTGATTTTTGATCATGGTTGTTATTATGGCGGGCGAAGAGACTTTGGAAAGATATGAAAACCAGGGAATCATCAGGTGTTAGGTTCCCAGAACACTGGTCGTTGCAGAAATGGTCTCGACATTCTCTTCTATACCCTTACTATGTTTTTTTTAATGTTATATACCGCACGCCGCGAAGTACTGTACACTTTAAGCTTGAAGAATCACCAATCAGATATGTTTAGAAGCCCTGGAGTACTTGTTCAAGGCTCGATACTCTAATACTCACCTCAAACCTTCAAACCTCAAAACTCTACGTATACATGTTCAGCCCATCACGATAAGAAAAAACGGTTCATTTCTATCTCATATCTCATGATTTTTATTATTAGGACATAACATACATTCCTTATATCCAAAAAAAATCACTTAATGTGATACAGGAACTGATCTCTTGGATACCTATACATATACGGAGCCAAAGTACTGTACAAGCAAGCACCTGCCAAAACCAAGTCAAAGGGAACAATTCGCTGAATGTGGAAATCGGAAATCGGATGTGGGGGGCCAATCGGCACGGAATGTCGGGGTTGAGTTGCCCATTTTTTGCGCTTAACCAGCTTAGGTTATTTTATCCTTTCGACAATGTTGTTGGAATACAAAGATTATGAGTGGTTATGAATGGTTATTGATGTGGTTTGTTGATGATTACTGGTAGTTGATGTTATGATTGATCATGAATGCGGAAGCCCCAGTAGATAGGGAGTCTTATCGATTGGGGGGTGACTAGGTCATATTTTCTGGGAGATAGCAGACTGATAACTTGATACCTGCCAGTGATATCGTATAGTACAGTTTGTACGTAGTACGTGTTTGGTACTGAGGAGAACGAGAGTGAGTGGAGGAAGCTGCACACCATCTCTCTTTTTCTTTTCTTTTATCTCGTCCACTTACCTACCTGGCTTGGGGTCTCCAATCTGCTCTACGATAATTTTCTTCTATCGCGATTTCCTTTCCCTATTTGAGATTATTGACTCGATGACCGGGTTGATATGCGTATGGATGGAGGACTGGGGTTTATCGTAGATGTCTTGGTGTTTATATCTGATGCAGGTCCTCCCTCGTATTTATACTCGAGTAGTTCTGTGTGGCTTTGATCTTGAAGTGCAAAGTATACTTTCTTTGGAAGTTATTGTCTCTTTTCTTATTTTGATCTGTTCGGGCCTATTTCACAATATGATATAGCCTGACTATATTGCATATATCATTTATCACTCAATACATTTTGTCTATTGACAGATCTGCCCTAGATATACCTTGATACTGACTCTCTTTTCATTCAAATGATATATGGTACTATCCTCCACACATTTGAAATAAGACGACAAGATTCATCTACTACATCTTCCCCCTTCACAAGGCACATAACGACCCCGAAAGCTTGGCGGTTCCCTAAAGCGACACAATGATCGCGATCGGCACTATTTTAATATCGAACCAATGGCCTCTTGGCCTTGGTCTGATGGTATTGTTACTCACGGCCACTGCACTTAAATACACCCAAAGTTGGCACAAGTCCCTGTTCAACAAATTTCATATCCAACATCGACGCACATCTACATCCGCAACACCACCTCGATCATTGTCTCCAAGCAAGAAGAGTGCAGAAAAATATTTAAACTCCACTAGCAAAGCCCCAAATTACTACGATGCATTTCCTCCCTCAAGACGTACTACGCTTCCACAAGTTGCGGAAACAATCCCCCCACGAATCGGCACGGTCTTGACCTCAACCAACCCATCAACCGAACTCATGGCGAAAAACAAATTGCCCATGGTTCAGTCTTATACTCTCGGCTTCGAAACTCCAAAATATACGCCAATGGGGTTCTCTACTCAAGAAATTAACGCCATGGGTGATTTTCCCCCTTATGATATCTTGACCGGCGTCCCACTACCCCAACCACTTCAAGGATTTAAACCCGAAAAGGCTCTTCCCAGACCGTACAGACCTATAAGATGGCAATATCATCAAACCATGTGTAAGTCAACCCTTGTTCTCTGCCGAAAATCTATTGATATGCCCCAGCTTTTCAAAAAATGGAACCTGATTGGTGGCTCGAAGTCGAGAACACATATTGTTCCCGCATCGCCGAACGTCAAGGGCTCTTCAAACAATACGGCAAAATGGTCCTCGACTACCTTCCAGGCAGCGAACTCGTCACCAAAGAACTTATGGAAATGTGTCTTCAATTCTACTGTGCCCGCTACCCTGCCCATTTCTCCCTCTCGCCGGATCACAGAACATTCCACAACGCTCTTCTCAAAACCACTACCGAGATCAAATCCATGCATCCCCTCCACGTCCTTCTCAACAATGTTCCTGAAGATTTTGCCATCGTGCTAAGGAATGATCAAGATGGCATGTATTATTTTCGCGCCGGCGTCGTCTGTAGTTCGCTAGGCTGGAACGTCTCTACGAAGATTGGATTGAAGCTCGAGGATATCCATAAACCTATCCCTGATTACAAAGAAAAAATGTCTTTCAGCATGGATCGTTATTTCACCAAGATGTCCGCCGATGCTCCCATCCAGCGTGGTAGTTGGGGGCTCGAGATCGACGCTCCGTTGTTTATGCCAGCGGGTCACCCGCATGAAAAATTGCGCGAAATACAAAAGGAGGGTTTGATGATTGAAGAATGTACTTTGAGAGTTGATTGGCAGACACTGAGACGATTGCCGTTGAGTGGGGGCGTGGTGTTTAATTTCAAGGCGCTGTTCACGCCAGTGACGGAACTTAGGGATGAACCGTATGTACCGGCGTTATTGTGCAAGATCTTGAAGGAGGGAAAAAAGACGTTGATGGATTATAAGGGGACGTGGCATGTAGAGCATGCGGTTATCCCGGCCATGGAGGAGTGGGCAAGGGAACAGGTGGAGAAGGGGTGGGTGGTGCCGCAGGAGGGAGAGCTTACTTGGAAGGAGGAGACGTTGGGGGAAAGCCCGTATTTTGCGGGGTGGGAGGAGAAGTGGCATAGGCAGCAGGGGTTTTAGTTGGGTGTTGGTTGCTGGGTTGTTGTCGGGTATGCATGGCGGCTAGTGGGATGTGGGTTGGGTTTCCTTGGGTTTAGGATATCTCGGGTGGATATCTACTATTTATGATATATTTTTGATGCTTTTTCTCACGTTGACCGTCAGTCCTCAATGTTTGTTCTCAGTGTTCCAGAAATAAACACAAACATCAAATATATTAACGAGTCCATACCAGCTTAGTTAATTAAATGATCAGTAACAAAACCTGAACAAGAGATCCCAATCCGTTCGATTTACAGTGATAATAGCAAAGAAACCGATTAGCTACGAGTAGGAACTCACGGTATATGTAATTGGTTTGGTAATCTTTCATTACAGACATCTCTACGCCGCACCTTTGTACAGAGGGAGATCATACCAATAAATACCTTGATTGATTGGATCCTGAGTTTCCCTTTGGCTTCGGGTCCCTTTGCGTGTCTGGTATGATGTGTGGATCATACTCGAGTGATAATAAGACTTCTCTACTGTTTAATTAGGAAGACTTGAGTGAGGTAGGCAGATGGGTGGTAGGTTCCAACAATATATAGTGTGTGATCCACATCACATGCAAGCGAGCGAACCCCTTCCTTGTAAGATTAGTAAGGGGTACGTACAATCACGTCACGGTGTATCGGGATGGATGGGAATTAAGCAAGCTAGATACTATTTTTGATAATGTAATTATAGTCAGATTGAAGCGCCATCGTGTTTGTATCGTATGATTTACTCGAGTACTCGAGTATTGAATATCGATATCAATATGAATGCGAATATGAGGGAAAGGGTAAGGGAATGGGAGTGGGAAAGGGGACGATGGGTTGTAGAATGTAGAACGTAAGTTACTATTATGATGATATGTATTATAAATACTGAGCACATATGATGATATGAAGACTCACCGAGTACAGAAAACTAATAATGACAATGAAATGCGGGTATTGTAAGACTACTATAGCTAAGTAGCTATCATGTTCCATTGATGAGAGTGATATACAGAGTGGCGACGATAAGTTATAAATTACAGTAAATACCTCAAATAGCATCATTTTCAACTTTGATACACATTTGGGATTTAATAGGCTAGTTGAGGCATTACAGTTGAGAATGATGTTATTTCAGGTATTTACTGTAAATTATAACTGATCAGCAGAATGGTTCACTACTTAAAGAGCTGAAGACACGCTACTATTACAGATATGTAATCTGCCAGACTATAAATTTTAAAACAGAATCCGTGATGAGATTGATTCGAAGAGAACTTCCCTGTAGAGTGTAGGTGATGGGATTTGAAGCTAGAGCTAGGAATTCATTTTGCTGTATGCTAATGTATCAATGAATTCGCTGTTACAAATCTGGTTTGATGGGAATATTAAAAACTCTTAACGTGACCTATTGCGGGACAAAAGGCACTGTGCGTATGATAGGTAGGTATGAGTGCATGCGTCTGAAGACTGGATCTATTAATGGCGGCTGTGGCATTGAAAATGAGTTTTTTGCTATCTTCCTGTCAGTTCAAAAGTCATGTGTCTCCCATACTCATTTCCAAACTTTAGGTAGTGTAACTTAAAGGCTACTATCGTGCATCAGAAGATACGAGTTGAAGTAGCGTATAGTCATTGCTTACAGATTTCTAGGGCCATGTATCTCAGTGCTTTCCTTTGATCGCCGTCCCGTAGGAAGTGTCACGGTTGCTCCTCTGGCAGCTTCCATAATCATTGCGACCGCGGATGGGATGGGATGATTAAAACTCATAAGAAAAATCTCTTCACTTATGGATTCACACTTTCATCAATAGTTCGAGAGCTGAGTGGCTCTACTAAACTTTTGAATTATTGTTCTGAACACCTCAATATTCTATTTCTTGGCTGGCGGTGACCTCCTACGAGAGATCCATTATGCGATTGTCTCTTGTATCCTGCCTTGCAATAATTATGGCAGCACAAAGTCTGGCTTTCTTACATCACTCCAAGTAATAAATACGAGCATAATCCTTCAATTTGCGGAAAATCTGAGTATTGAGTTTCAAAGATTCACGAAATCGAATATGAACTAATATGCCGCAATTCTGAAATCGAGAGAAATCAGCCTTCTTTCGAAAGATCTCCAGATTCATAAGAGGAGGTGCAGGACATGAGATATATTATGCGTCATCCAACGAGCAAAAAGTATTGAAAAAAGTATTCTCGATCTGATAACATTATTTTTCCAACCGGCGAGAAACCGCAACTGATATCTATGAAGCAGTATATCATCTCTCGACTCCGGGACTCTAGGCTTACTTCTTACATGGCGGGCTTGCAGCATCTACAGGTATCATTATTGATACATGTAGCTCGGGAGCTGCCTACTTTCTCAGAAAGCGCTGTGTTTTAGCGCGTCGTTTCAGGGGAAATATGGTCACGTATTAAAGAAACAAACTAAAATTGCCTAGCGCATGCGTGAGTAGTGAAGTCTCGCACGTTTTTCACGGTGATTTTAATGCTATTGCTATGTTTTTCTCGAGAAAGGATACTATGCAGGAAGTTCCGATCTTGAAACTGTACGATGCCGAATTAAACAGACTTCAAGAAGATACGGACAAAATTGTTATCAAGCGAGAGCATGAAACAGCTGGTTATCGTTGAGCTTTGAGGATCCCAAGAGCAGAGAGAACTATGTGGGAAGAATAGACTCGTATGCCACGCTAGTACATTGGGAGTGACGAGGACCGTTTCGGGCTTGGATTCCCTGTGGACTTTTGTTCGCAAATTTAGCTGTAGGAAGACTTCTTATTACGATTTATTTCTCCAAGCACTGTATATACCAGTCACGGGATATGTACTCTCTCTAGTGCTCGAATAAAGTTCCATGAAATGAGAATTTCATTTTAGCAAGTTCGAAAAGGAACGGGAAAAGTAAGTGGGAAAGGCCATATTTGGAAAGTATCGTGACTTTCTCGACTAAATCCATCTCTCAAACAAAAAGACCGAGAGAATTCAAGGGAGAAACATATCCTGCCCACAGGAAATACAGGAATTTTACGGTCGTACATTTTGCATTCCCTTTTGTGGCTTTCTCATGTTGAAAATGTTTATTGTCTGAACAGAGGACCAGATAACCTTAGTCACTCAAGAGAAAAAACTGGAAACCATCATTGGGATTATGACGGACTTTACCTCTGAGGCATCCCGCGTAATTTTCCTAGAGACCAACTTACTATATACCAACGCGCGGAACGCCCATCTCTTATTCCATAACCTCATACCTCTAAAAACTCCCCAATAATACCTGCCACCTCCTCACCTCTCGTAATTGGAAACTCATGACCCGCCCCCTCTAGAACCTTCCAAACAACCCTCTCATCAAATACTCCACTACCAACATTCCCAGCCCCTATACTTCCCACCACCCCCTCCAAATCCTCCTTTAACTCCTTTACTACAACAACATCATCCCACTCGCCCACCACTACCAAGATCTTCTCTCTTTTAACATTACTCTCCTGCTGCATTACACTGCCACTTCGGGCTTCCCATAATCCCATCCACTTCTCTCCGCATCCAGAAATCGACGCATACATAATCGAACTTGCAAATGCATTTGCATATCCTCGATGCTGTTGCGTTTGCCAACGCATCACCTGTCCTACCGTAATATATGGTAATGAAGGAGATATAGGTGTATCATCAAACGATATCTTAGTATCTGTGCTCGCAACAGGAGAGGAAAAAGAGGAGGGAACCGCCATTATAAGTTCCGAGTCGACTTGTGCCCGATTCTCAACATGGTTGCCAGGCTTGAACTCCGAATCAGAGGCTCGAAGAGAGGATGATGGAGAAGTAGAAAGGGAACTCGAGACCTCCTCATAAGCCCCCCTCACCCTCCTCCTCAATATCCAGCCCCACAACCCATCAGGAAACCACCACTTTCTCATCACCTTCCCTTTCCACCCAAAACGCTCCTCTCTAATCAACCCCCCCGGTGCCAATAATACCACACCTCTCACCATCGCCGGAAAATCCACGGCAAAATCCACGGCTATGCCTCCCCCCATCGAAAATCCAATGATGTGAAACCCCTCCCCAGCCCAAGATATCGAGGAAGAAGTAAGAACCAGTAAGATCTGAGCCGTATAAAGCCTCTCATCATGCGGTAAATCCGCAACACCATCCGAATACCCCCTTCCAAAAAGATCGAAAAGGAGAACTCTACATCCGTGCGTGGAGGCAAGGGCAGTAGCGAGATGATGGAGGGAAATGCAGGGCGTGGAGATACCGTGGACGAGGAGGATTTTGGGGCCATTCAGAGGTCCGAATTCATAGGCGCGGGTGCTACCATGCTAAAGTGTACTGTCGGTCAGAGGGTAATGAACTAAAAGGGGTTCAATAGAAACTCGGATGAAATGTTTAACGAACGTACGGGGCTGGTGATGTCACGGGCTCCGGGGAATATATCCGGCGGATAAGGCAATGCGGATATTTTCTCGTGGGATAGTGTTGGGATTTGGGTGGTTAGAGGACTGGGGATGACTTTTGATTTAGATTTAGATTTTGATTTCAGATGTGACTCAGATTTTGATTTAGACAAGGCGTTTTGAGTGACATCGACATCAGTGGTTATACAAATATCGCGAAATGCAAGGACAAACAACGAAGTGGTAGCCAGGCCGGCAAAGAGAGATATTGGAATACCGAGGGAATGGTTTGGTACAATATTTGTGAACGCCTTGTGTATCGATTTGAGACTTTCGGGAATGGTACCCGTGGAAAGCATTGTTTCACGGGTACAAGAATTTGGTTGGTACTTGTGTTATTATCGATTTGGTACCTGTGCACTCGTAGTGAGTGTTATTATTATCGAGCCCTCGAGGGGTAAGTGACGGACGGCTGGGAGCCGAGTGCCGAATAAGTTCCGATAGGTGGACTGAGAATGAGTGTCACGTGAATGTTTCTCATCCTTGAGCGATGCCATGGAAAGACTAGGTTGAGGAGTGGTATTGGTGGTTATAGTAAGGGTGCTCTCTATCACGGCTATCTTGACTTTCGTATGGCTCAATCCATTATCTAAAACACTTCCCAAGTATAAGTAGAAAGGGATCCAACTAATTCAAGGCACATGGTTCGATACGTTCTTTGGAATCAAGACATCAATGAGGACGAGGAAAGATCCATTGATTGGCAGTTCTGCGCCTTCTCTCTCCCTCGTTTAACATGAGCTAGAAAGTATATACAGAGGTTTGAAAAAGAGTGAGCAGACTTTTTCCCCCATTTTCAAAAACCGTGCAAGATTTGCGATATCTTGGCACTTCTATTGCACTTCTATACCGACCAATGGATGACCTAGCGATCCTCCCGATGTGCATATCCATCTGCCTGCCCATCCAATGATCTGATTCCATGGAGCTAGACATAAACCACTTATTTTGATACATTGAATCTACAGTAGTTGCAGTGTAATTTTCTGCAGCCGCCACGTTCGCTCCGGACCGCCACGCATCGACAGTGCAATATGTACGTGATGCTAGACAATGTCTCTCTTGTTTTTTGATTTGATCAAAATTAATCATCAGAATGGAGCAGATGGAAGAATATGCATGCAGCGCGAAACGCTACTGCAAAGTTGATAGCGGGCGGCAAGGACTGAAAATGGCATAATGAGGAAGGGAACGAAGGAAGGAAGGATCGTGTATGGAGATGTGATAAGGGATGGGAATGTTCCTAATATTGATTAGAAATAGGATAGGCGTTGAGATTTCGAGGACACAATTTGGATGCTGGAGAAGACCGTCACCATATGGGGGGGGGGGGGATGTGAGGAAGAACTTGGGAAGAAGTCAGCAGATCGATTTTGGGTGTGAGGGGAATTGAGCAATAAGACATTTCGACCGTCATCTCTTTATTTTTGGTGTATGGGTGGTGAAGGGAGTTAAGACAATGTTATCGGAGAGACGGAGCTAGGCTGAGTCATGCGCGTGTGATGTAACGCGAAAAGCGCGTTCACACGCGTCTTTTGATTCCGTGTGTGCCCCTCTATTGGGAAATTATGAAATTATGAAGGCCTCACTGATGACAGGGAAAAGAAATTGACGAATGAGACAAAAGATCAAATGCACGATTCTCCAAGAATCGTAAAAGTAAGAGATATGGGAAAGAAAACGTTTTATATGCGAGGATGCTTGCTTGCTTTGGAGCAAGGTTATGTACAGACGGGTAGAAACTTGATTTCTTTGCATGCATTGCAGGAGATAAACAGATATCGGATAGTAGGCAGATAGATACAGATGATAAGAAGGGAAACTTTAACCCCGCAAACTCACAATTGAGAATTCGTGAATTTAGCATTGAGAATCGGCATTTGAACATTCTAAATACTACCAAGTGTTTATCTCCATGTTATTTCTGAGTATATATTTTATGTATGATAGATAAACCATAAACGGAAATGTTAATGCTGCAAGAAGGGTACAGACTTATCCAGGACCTAGCTGCTAGCGTTCGTATAAAGGTAACCTGATTAGAAGATACACCAAAAAAAATGTATCCCAAAGTTGAAATATGATCGAGAAGTGAAGGGAGTAATCATGATCATGGTCATGAGACTAATACTTCAATTCTTAGTAAGACAACTCACACCTTAAAAGTCTTTCGAAGGAAAAGGGAGGAAAACTTTCCTCTGTAAGTTTGCTGTAAGCTAAGGCTTAATAAAAAGGGGTGTTGAATAGAATCCTGTCTTAGCCGAGTGTATAATTAATTGTAGAGAGTTGGAGAATAGAGAGTTTGCAGATTCTGGAACAGTGTGATTTGATGTTTATGAGGTATACGATAAGGAAGAGTACTTGAATTGAGTCGATGAGAACTCCAAGAAAGAAAGTGGGTGGTACTGTAATGGTGACTGCATGAAAGCGAGGAGAAACTGGAAGATTGATTAACAGGGAGAGGATCAACTCATAGTTCATAGTTATCATCCCCTCACCGAAAGACCAGATTGAGAGATATTCGAAGATAGAAAAAGTAAATACTATTAAGATATATAGATACTATATTATATAATTGATATCTTTAGAAGTATATTTGTTTTATTATATAATAGCTATAGATAGATATATAACTTTATTATCAGACTTGTACTAGTATCTCTTCTTCTTTTAATACTTTCTCTATATAATAATAATATTTATCCCTGTGTTACAAATCACGCTAATTTCCATTAATCTACTTAGCGTTTCCAGTTAAAAGTCTAATGCAGCATTGATCACATCTTTACAATTTCACAAATCCATAAATACTGGACCCCCTGTCATAGTTGTGCAGTTATTAGTGAACATTATTAACATTAACCCAGCTCTCCGCCCCGTTTGACATTTTGGCCATCTCGTTCATCCTTTCTTGTCAAATAGCAACGGATCTCAGATAATCACCTAATTGGAAATATCACAACATCATTATTATCGCATACAAACAAAAGAAGTATCAACAATAGAAGGGAAACGTGCGAATCTTTTGATATAACTTTCAAGAAATTATAAAAAGATCCTAAGGCTCCGACGCTTTCCGGCGCATCATTATTAGGCCTCTGTCGCAAGCATCACTTTGCTTTTTCGCCTGAACAACACAACAATCAACAATCATAGTTGCCTACAACATTCAATTCAATCTTCACTATAATCTCGAATACTGAGAAGCAATCCAACATAAATCACAACATTATAATCTAGCAAAAAATGTTATTACCGTCCGCATTTGCCTGTGGCGACTCGCAATCACTTTCCCAACAATCTCGAAATCGCCATATTCTGTTCGCATCGCCGCCTCTCTCACCGACCCCTTCACCATCTTCCACACCGCCCACCATTGGCAATCTATTCCAATCATGTCGCGCTCTACAATCTATGCTCACAACCCCAACACAACTCCCTTCGCCACCCACACTACATGCCGATATTCCTTCATCGCCTCCCATGACTCGAAACTCTCATGCGAAACTCAGATTGCGCATACCATCTCCATCAAATAGAATCAAGCCGGAAGCCAGCGATTCAAAGCGCATAGCTAAGCGAACGCAAAGAGATTCATCGCGGGGAATTCATAAGAGGAGGAGAGCGATGGAGGAGGATAAGGATACGAGCCGGGAGATGCTGGGTGATGTTTCGGAACAAGAGCTGGAAGATGGAGCAGTTCAAGAGCCTAGTACGCCGAAACGTAGGCGGAGGATTGCACCAGAGGTATTGCCTTTGGGGTTGGAGAGGAGTGATTTTCATACTTTGCGCTTGGCTGAGATGGAGAATGTTGGTGGTGATGAAGCATTTGTCTTCAAAGCCGGGGGTAGTTCACAGCACATTGAGAGTGAAACGCAGAGAGGTGAAGGGGAAGAAAAAGATGGGGAGGAATGGTCAACGGAGGAAGATAGGATGCTAGTGGAGCTGGTGTTGGAAAAGCTCAAGTTGAGTAAGAGTGATTGGCAAGATTGCGCGAGGAGTTTGGGCAAGGATAGAGGAGGTGTAGGGAAGAGATGGAAGAGCTTAATGGGTGCTGGAGAGGTGGGTTTGAAGGGAAGGAGGAAGACGAGGTCGACATTGCATTCGACTTGGAGATAGCTTTCTTTTTAATCATTAATTTTTGAGGGGTTTTGGCTAGCTTCTCTGCCATCGGAACTGCCTTGGGGAAAATACTTTTTTTCCATAATACAGGTGCATAGGAGGTTTGGAAAGGAAATTTAGCGGATGGGTATCACATGTATATCTATGGGCCCATGTGGATTTAGGCGGAGAGGTTCTTTGAAAAAAGCGTTCGATCATGGTTCTTTTGGCTTGGGATAGGGGTTGGGAATGGCTTTCTTAACTAAATGGTCTAGTTGTTTTTAGCTAATAATACCTCACATTTTGTATATTTAATACCATCTCAATGAGAGTTTTTGAATACAGCAATAAATATCAACATTGGCACATACATTAGCATTGGCATTAGCATTGAAATTAATACAAAACCCCAACTCTATCAATTAATCCCCCTTTCTTATTTCAATTCCATTCACTCATAAAACCATACTCCTCGCCTAAGATGAGAAGTACTCATGCATACAGAAACTTGTCGTCGTTCAATCCTCGTTCCGTAATTGCCTAGATTGATATTGATATTGATATCTTATATTCTCACATTAGTGTGATGTGTAAGATATCGATGATATTAATAACAGTTTTTACCCTACATGTCCTCCTATATCTCATTATTGTACGAGTATGTATATCTAATCCCCTCCCCCGATCATCCTACCTCTGATTTCACGTCTGATGCATGGCACACCAGATTATTAATGGGAAGGAAGGCTGGCTGGTTGTGAATCTTTGGTTTGTTTGTTTGTTTGTTTGTTTATTTGTTTTGTTTTAGTTTGTCTCTCTGCTTGTATTAGTGGGAATGGAGTGAGAATGTTGTAGGGTGGTGATACGCTTCTCCCAAGCTAATCGACGCAACTTCTTATTCTCTGACATGAGCTCTTGAGTTTACTGAAGGAGGTTTAGTTAGGGCGGAGGGTTGGGTTGTTGGGTTTCCTGATGCGTGACCAAAAAAGGCCTTTGGGGGAGTTTGGGTTGAGAGAGAAGGCCGGAATTTTGGATTTTCACATCTGCAACAAATGTTCCTTTAAATCTTTGGAATCCACAGATTCGGAGTAGGAAATAGAGGATGTTTAGATCTTTGGGAGTGTCATTCTCGTTGGAGTTGAAAACAGAGCTATCTTAGACAAGAGAAGTTGTGTCATATTCACATCGCTCATATGGTAGCATCTAGATACTCGTCGAAATTCCCGTCTCAAGGGCTTTCTTGACCAAAATTATGGTGGTGCTACTTCCAGTCACCATGGTTTCTTTTCCGCCCATGGCTTTTCTTAATTTTTCTATGTGTAGTTTCACGATGTCCTGGGAGAGAAATGCAATTAGTTCACAAAGGGATAAATAAACAGATCTTTGATGAAGTAAGCAGAAGCAAAAACTAACCTTCTCGGTGCCCGCTTCCTCAGGATGTGCTTCCCTCCATCTCGTAACCATGCTAGCGGTATCTAATCCCTTCTCCGCTTGCTGAAGCGTGATTTCTCTTCCGCCGCCGAAAAAATCATTAGATGCTGGATCGGACAATATGCCATCACGGTCATAGTCGAGTTTGAGAAATTGCGATAAGGGCAGTATGGTGGAGGGGATGGGATGTGGGATATTCCAGGAGATTGGAAGCTGGTCGTACATGTTGCGGGAGAGACGGTTGGGGAGAAGCTCGTAGGGGGCTAGAATGTCACGCTCGAAATGTAGGAATATGCGAATGACTTCGTCGCGGTTGGGGGTGGAGGGGTGAGGATAGTGGGATGCTTGGGTAAGTGGTTAGCGAGGTGCGAGGTGAAAGGGGGGTACAGGAGAGTGAGTATAGTGCTTACCACGTGTCCATATAGCTACCTGTATTTTTCTTTTAGCAAACTCTCATCTGTTATCGCTCTATGAGGTTCCGGAATAGAAGGTGCAAAATATATACATTTCATAGGGAATTACTGATAGAAAAGTACTCACTGTTCCACCAGGCTTCAGCGCCTTTGCAGCCTGCGCCCAAAATTTATTCATATCAAACCAATGTACCTACAATATCCCAATCAATAAAAACTCAATCAACCACATTAACAAAAAAGCCATCAGTCATTCATACCGCCATAGCAACAGTAATTAAGTCAACACTCCCTCTCTCCAACCCCTCCAACCCCGCAAACTCCTCCCCGCTTCCAACTACCCACCTAATATCCCTCCCACTCTTCGCTTGCCCCCCTATCTCCCTTGCAGCCCCAATCATCGCCGCGCCCGCATCACACCCTATCGCATCCTCGAAATATGTCGCGATATCACGAGTAGCATTACCGGGACCACACCCAAGATCAAGTACTAAATGGAATTGTCCACCCGTTTTTTCGTGATGGTTGATGATTGTTTCGTATAGTTTGGAGGGGTAGGAGGGACGGTGCGCCGCGTAGATTTTGGCTTGTTCAGTGCTGTAGTTGCGGAATGTGGGGTCGGAGTTGGGGGTTATGGTTGGGGGGCGGACATGATGAATGGTTGCTTGATTTGTGGAGGGGAAAGCTTGCTTGTTTGTTTGGTGTTTGTGTTTCAAGAAGATAACAAAGTTTGTGAAAGAGATCGTAGAGTACGAGTAGTGAAAATTAGGCTCGAGAAGATTCCTCATGTTGGTCTTATATTATGTGGCCTATGAAAGGTCACGGAGTGCATGCATAGTACCGATTCCGAACGGAGACGGGCCACCACTTGGAACCCCTTCCCTAAGGAAACGTGTCGGAGTTCTAGAAGCATCAAATTCCACTTACCGCGCTGAGTTTGCAGCGTCTTAAATTTAGATGTAAACGGCATTTTTCAGGGTGTTTTGTTGTCCGATGAGGTCACAAACATGCCAGGATGTTCTTTCCTCAACCTCAACCTTACACTAGTAGAGTAGTCCGGCCCTACCTTTTTCGTCTCTATGCTGTTCATATGATTTGTTGTCACGCATCATCTGTCTATCTTCCAACAGGCCTTCTACAAATCTTCTTCCTATTATTTGCATTTTAGAGTCATCTCAAGCAGAACACCATGCAAATTAAATGCGCCAATTGCCATTCTAGACTCTTTTCAACTCAATGCAATAGGATATCCCTCCGTCGGCCACCACACGCTGCATAACCAGTTGATGGACGAATTCGTCAACTAATGGGTCAGAAGTGTAGCACCGCCCTGGAGATATTCTCTATTTTCCACGAATGCAGGCCTTGATTCACGGTAAAGGATTGCCCTACTTGAGCAACACAGGTGCAAGCAAAGATACACTGATCAAAAAGAAGCGAGGAGTGTGAAAAAAAAAGGTCTCCGAGGATTCTTGCAAACAACACAGATTGGTGGGCTTTCCAATTCTCTCAATTGGGTGAGCCTGGCTGCATAGAAGAAAACTGACCTCCGAATATTCTAGCAATCAATACGGAATGATAGGCTATCAAATTATCCTATTTAGATGAGCCTAACTGTGTAGAAGAGAATTGGCTTTCGATGATTCTGACAATCAATGCAGGATGCTGAGCCATCCAATTCTCTCGGTCAGGTGAGCCTGGCTGCGTGGAGTTGGAACAAATTAGCAACCATTCTTCTGATGCACAAGCTAGACTTCAAGAGGTTGCGCACAAACGTCTAAGACTGCATTAATCGGTATATAAAGACTAGAGAGCATCAAAGGATAGAATGAGGAGTGAAATGGTTTGGGACACAGGAAATTTTAATTCTCAATGTCTTGAGCTGGAGGCAAGCTGCCCAGATTACACCTCATCCAGGAGGTCTTGATGAAGCTGCGAATAGTAGACAGTCAGCCCAGTATGTGATTAAAGTGGTCCTAGTCGGATTCACATGTATATATCACAGCATCACATGAAAAGACATATCAAATTTGGTGTCAAATGACTTTTATATTTTCTGAAAAGTATCTAGAGAGAATCTATGGAGGTACTATGCTCAGCGGGCAGAGGTAGCAGTGCTAAAGTACCGCGTATTCCACCCTCTGGCCTCATTAATCCATGATCCTTCTCGAGCTGTATTTATGCTGCAACTTTCTTGATGAAGTACAGTGCCCCTAAGGGCGACGCTGGTGTGCATATCCAGATCGAAACACAAGAAGAGTAGGAAACATAAAGGGTTTTGAAAAGGAAAAGAACAAAAAGAAAATCATAAGTGTTGTTCGGGGCGTTTTGTTGCCAAGCGAGCAGCAAGAAAGGGTTCGTGGCAAAGAATAGGGCAGGAAGTCGTTGAAGCCTGTATTGCAAGATGCTGGCGTACTGATCAACGGATGTTTACCACATCGTATCAGCTTGTTGCAGATCTTTCCGGTATGGTCGAAATAAGGTAGCATACGAGCCTACCAGCGCAAAGATAACCGAAAGGTTGGAGAAGTCAAGTACTAAACCACCAACTGATAACCAACCACCTTTGTATTTATTCGTAATTCGAGTAATGATCGAGCTCGTAGCCTTCTTCATCAGCATTGCTCTGAACTCGAAGCTCTTCTTGGTAATAATCGCTGCCATCCTCAATTGAAGTGGTGCCTTTGCTATGGTCAGTAAAGGATTCCTCAGCTTCCGGAAGAAGTTGAGCTTGTGCAGAACCCTGTGAAACTCTGCGGTTTCTAGAAAGTCCATCCAGGATATTTCTCAAAGGCTCACTGGTGGTGTTTTCGGAATCACCGGTAGTAGCAACGCGGGTATGTGGTCCTGAGGTAGACTTGCTGGTTGATTTTGTACTGCTTCGGCATTGACGTCCAGTAGCAACTGAGCGAGCTTTGACCTGGCGGGAACCAGCAGTGGGCAAAGGGGTTCGAGTAGGATGTGATACTAGGTCAAACTCATCACCATCATCCTCCGCAACCTCAAGAGTAGCTTTCCTAAGCAAATTTCGTTGGTACGCCTCCTTTTTGGCTTTTCGTTGATCCGCCAAGGGCAAACTTTGAATATACTCCCAGTCCAGCTCAAAATGGGCATCGACTTCATCGGATTCGTACCCAGGAGGGAGCTTGCGCTTCTGCTTTGACTTCTTGGTAGAAGCCGCCTTGCCTTGTCGAGCGCGAGAAGGTCGTGAAGGTGGCGGAGCGAAAATAGCCGTCATCTTGAAGGTTCCAGGAAGTATATCCCTTGAAGATGCAAGTCTTTCCGCGGGAGTCATGGGTCTGGAAAGCTTCACTTCGGACCTAGGTTGGTGGTACATATTCGATTTGAAATTATTCAAGGGCCGAGTTCTCTCATTAGGCTTTGTCAGAGCATCCCATACCAGTTGATCGAGAACTGGAAAATGACGAGTGTCTACAGAAAGCCGAGGCATGCACGCCCGACAAAACTGTTTGTTACAGTCCTTGCATCTCTGCATGACTTTGTATTCGGTTTTAGACCCAATCTTTTTGTTGCAGATATCGCATTTGGTGGTGCGCACTACAACTTGTTCAAAGTTGACATGTCTGCGTGGGGCAGGAGAGACCCAAACTCCTGACTTAGGCAGACTGTCAAAATCAGGGATATATTGCCGCATTGGTGCAGCTGGAGTGGCAACACTAACATTTGCACTCGTGTCGAAAGTAACTTTTCTTGGTGAAGATGAAGACAGGTTCTCTTCCTCATCAGACTCTTCATCAGGATCATAGCTGTCTTCATCATCAGATGTATCATCCCGAGTAGGACGAGAAGCACGAAGATTATTCGGAGTTCTCTGGGACATTCCATCATTACCCTTTTGTCTCTTGGCAGACATCATGATGTTTGTTTGACGGTCGATGGTGGTTTGAGAGTGGTCCAAACCAAAAATATGAGATGGCAGATATTGGGTTTCGAAACTGCGAAGGGACAATGAGACAATCCTGGCCTAGTAACGGTGGATAGTACTGAGTATTGTTTGTATTCGCTTCCGAAAATTTTCGTAATTTGGACGATAGGATGCAGATGATATACCGCTGATGTTGGAGACTATCTGCAAGAACGATCGATCTTTGGAGGATATAAGGCAGACGCTAGCTGCGGATATATGATTCTATCGCCGGTAATATACCAGCTAAGAACAACAACCAAGCGACGATAACCTCAGATTCCTAACTTTATCACCAAGAATGATGTGTGATCAAGTAGTATCTAATCGATGATATGCAGTAATATTTGAGGTTGCAGATGACAAGGAGGAGGATTTAGCAACCAAGGCTGTGACGAGAACGTTGTAGGTCCGAAAGATCTAAAATTGTTGACGATGATATGTTAGTTTAGATCTATGAAAACAATGAATTGTAAAGCTAATGAGGAGGAAAGAAACACAAATAGAGTGTTGTAGTGTGTTGTTAATTGCAAAGTGTACGAGGAGTTATTGCTTACCACAAACTTGAACCTGCGGGTAGAAGTACCAAAGGCACGATCTTCTGAATCTAAACCGCCTTCTATGTTGTTAGATTGGTAATATGAAGTGGTAAATTGTGAGGTTATCACAAGGGAAGGGAGTAGAGTGATGGTGCTACAGCTCAAAGCTGTTTGTAGGAGAAAGTTGAGGTTGGTACTTACAAGGGATATGACTCTGTTGGCAGAGCAACAAACGCGCAATCTTTGAATCTCAAACCGCTTTTTATGTCGTTAGATTAATAACAGGAAGGGGTAGGCTGCGAGCAAGATAGGGGAGAACAAGGGGAGAAGAGAATAGTGCTATAGATCAAGGCTATGCTGTGAGAGAAGGTGGAGGTTGGCACTTACAAGCAATATAACTCTGCTTGCAGAACAACAAACGCGCAATACTTGAGTCCTAAACCGCTTTTTATGATGTTAGATCGCTGGAGGAAGGAGGGGCCTGTTGGGTTGATATGGGAGAGGAGAAGAGGAAAGTAGTGCTGTAGTTCGAGAGTTTATGTGAGGTAAGATAGAGGAGGTAATACTTACAAGAAATCCAGTCCTACTGGAAATAACGCGAGGCTATGACTGGAAGTAGATCAAGTGTTCCTGAAAAGGTATTGACTCCAAGGTGGAATCGTTAGTCTCTGAAAGATCGATGCGAGCTGCTGTGTGCTTACCTTGGGAAACAGAAAGGTCTATTTGCAGGCTCACAAACAGGAGCAAAGGATATCAAGAAGACCCTCTAGCTAACCACAACTTCAAGATAGAAGCGCAGCTACCTAATGAGCTCGTATGGATGTTTTGTATTGGGTTGAGGGCAAGTAGGAGTATGATCGAGTTAATGTTTGAAAGGATGAGGGAGGGAGGTTGGTGTTTTTGTTGGAGAAGAGTTGGAAGGCTTTGCGCACAAGTATCCTTACTTATCGAAGAAGATGGGAGAACAAGAGGGGCTTAGCTTCTAAGCCGGGACGCTGTCAAATTTTATCGGGACGGCTGGTTTATGGAAGAGAGGCATTCGATTCACGTGGGGCCGATACGTATCTATGGAAGATTCCGTTGCTGTACTGCTGCCTTGTGATTATGGGATATGATGGAAGGCTTTGTTATGATAACTTGGGGCTAGAAGCTCTATTGCTGGAAAACTTGAATATGGAAGGGTCTGGAAGAAATAAGTTGCTGCAAGGGAGCTGTAGAGATGCTGTTATATTAAAGCTAAGGGCAGTGCTTGGTCATTCGCAAGCTATCACAGCTCATCATATTCATTCAAAGTCTACAAACTAGTCCATCCGAACGTTGTTTATGTGTCAGATCGTATGATACTGTTAAGATTACTACTTGATACGGCATAGGACGGGTAAGAAGAGCCGTCAGTGGTGGGCCGAGTGCGCATGATATTGTCGGAAAATGGCGCACAATAATATGAATTCACCACGTGCAATACTGTTGAGATTACTACTTGATGCTGCTTAGGACGGGTTAGAAGAGCCGGTAACGGTGGGCCGAGTGCGAATGATATTGTCAGAAGGTGGCGAACGGTGATATGGATTGACCGCCTGTATATAGGATGTTAACTCCGCGACCATAGGGTGTAGCTATGGGATAATATAGATGACGCACGATTGTTTGTGGCGGGGTACAGTCACCGTCGAATTATACTAGTTTGAGGGTCATTTTATACCAAAAGCGGCCAAAAATCACCTCTTTCACTTGAATATCCTGATTGAATTAAAAGATTTCCAAGAAATTCCTTAGACTCCATTCAATATCTTAGTATAAAAAATATACACATTCAATCTTTCTATAAAAATTGGCTAGTTGATATATTTATTTGACTTAAATCAAAGACTAAAGCGTGATTTTTGTTGGTTTTACTTATAGATTGCGATTTGGGAATATCGTCTTTTAGTATTCAATCGGGCTATATATAAAGATTAAAGACATACTAGTATCCTTGAAGCTATGAGATCCCGTTTTATAGTTCATTAATTAAAATATTTGTAGATAATAAGATTATTATTTTCTATTTCTCTCTTCATCTCCTATTTACTACTTACTAAATATATCGATATATTAGAAGTATTTGTTATTAAACCTTTTGATTTTATACCTGTATTATAATATTGAGCTTGTATAGTGAAAGGGTTTCTGTATACTTGTAATATTTTTGAAAGGCTGTATCGGTAGTAGTCG